CCCTTTCTCTTCTTCTCTATTCCCCCCCTGAGACACACACTCTATCTCTATTAGCTCACTCATTTTCTCTCAGCTCTCTCTCTCTCTCTCTCTCTCGAACCCTTCTCCCTTTTCCTTCCCGGTGACATACATACCCACACACCCAACCGTGACACCACAACGAACGACAACACCACCACCACCGTGATGGCTTTCTCTCTCCCTCTCTCGTCTCTGTGAAGCATAGAGAACCCAGGAACCTAGATCCGGCGAGCCCCTTGGCTTTTGAGCCAAAATCCAGCCAACTCCGGCCACTACTTAGGAAACCAAAGGTATCGTTCTAACCTACACTCTTTTATCTTCATTTTGGTAGTTAGTTGTAGGTTGTAGTGGATAAACGAGGTCAATCAGAGCTCCAGAAGCTCTGGCTTCCTCCTTTGTGAATCCGGCCTGAGAACTTGGTCGTTTTGACCCAAACTCGGAGCCCAAGTTCTTTTTCAACCCCAACCCTTGGGCTGGGCTTTCAAGCCTAAACCCTTTAATGCCCAACCCTTTTAAACATTCGGACCCCGAACCCAAAGAAAACCAGGTTCTTGGGCGGTCCAAGTTGGGCCTTAGGCCCGTTAAACCCTCAGTCCAAACCCTTTGAAACCCAACCCAACCCTTAACCTGAAACCCAAGGGAACCTTGGCTTTTAGGCCATAGAACCGGCCCATTTGAGAAGCCCAATAAGCCCAGCCCAGCCCACTAAGTCAGCCCAAAACCCTCAGGCCCAAACCCAGAACTGGCCCAAACCCTGAGGCCAGCAGTGCGTGGACACGCGTGAGGCCGAGCCAGTGTTATCGCGTGGAGTGCATGCGCCGTCGTCCACGGCAACACCGGCGATTTTTTTAGCCAACTTTTCGACGACCCACGGCAGCGCTGGGTCCCCCCTTATGTTTTTCAACGTCCTGAATCCGTTTATGACATCTGTTTTCTAAAATTCAATCGTTATGTTAGAGTTTTATTAATTGGAGCCTTTATGTTCTTAGGTACGATTATTAGCAGTGATTTCGTCTTTCCTATTTCGCACGGCTCTTCGACGACGGAGTATCTATGACTGGACCCCTTCTGAGATGCATATTTTAATAGTAGAAATGCATACATTAAAATCATGATTTAATGGTTACGTTTTATGAGTAAATTAGATTTACACTTTATGATTATCATGCTTTATTGAGAATATTTTGGAATACCATACTTTATCAAATTTATGTTCTTTGTAGTAGATATGATGGATGACTATATACTATTTATGAACATGTTTTTACACTCTTTGTAGTATATATGATAGATGACTATATACTATGAAGATATTTTGAGATATATGTACTTATGTTGGAAAGATTATATTCAATGTTTTGTGCTTATCTAGTGATCATTGTTTTGCCTACGGGCAATTATACTTATATTGGCTTCGGTTCGGTGGTGTAGTGGCCTTTGGGTTGGCAGATATTTATTGGCCTACGGGTCGGGTGATGTAGGGGCCTACGGGTCGAGTGATGTAGGGGCCTACAGGTTGGAAGGATATTCATATTTTTGGCTTACAGGTCGGGTGATGTAGGGGCTTACGGGTCGATTATGATACCACTATTTAGCACATTATATACAATTTATGTTTTAAGAAGTTTTATGGCATGCTCGGGTTTTCGGAAAACCTATTACATATTATACTATTGAGTTTTCATAAAACTTTGGGGGTCAGTACGTTGATGAATATCTGTTTTAGTATTATACATATCAACTTGGTTCACTCATATTTGTTTTGCGCCCCCTCAGGACATAGGAACGAGTCGTACAATCCGAGTTACGAGGCATTCCCCTACCAATGACATCGTGCCATCCTTTCTAACATCATTGTAATAGCACATTCCGCTTGTATTCTGAATTAGATGTATGCTCTGAACATGTCATGCATTATCACTATCATTATCATTGTTGGCAATTGAATATTATTATATTATCTTATAAGGTATATGTTGGAAAATTACATTGCGTAGTACGCGCGAAATTTACATGCACGTTTCACATGTTCTCAACATTTGCAATTATTAAATGGCTTGCGTCATTCTCGGGTGTCGACCAGCACATGGCCATCCTGATGTCCCCCGAACATCGGGATCAGGGTGTGTCAGCAACACACAGAGGCGTGAATGAGGGAATACAACACCATAAGGAGGAATTCATAAACCTTCATATTCTACTACATACCCTAAACAGGAGGCATATGGCAATAGCCAAGTTTACAATAAAAAAATAGGGCAAAGGAAGAGGCTTGTAGCCTAGTTGGTTAAGAGCATTTACCAGTGCACTCAAAGGTCCATATATGTTTGTCCACGCGATTCTCAAGACTCACTGATTAAAGAGTTGTTGATGTTATTAGTTTGTTTGTACCGTTAGTTTTGTTCCGAGTACAATATGTTTGGATAAGTATGTGGAGGAGAAGTATCCTCTGAAACCGTCATTGCCCGATAACCCTCAGCTAAAAGTTGTTAATCTCCAGGTAAGTTAAGGAACTCGTTCTTGTTCACTGCTAGGACACAGCCAGAAAACAGAAATTTGCATTGCATCAAAACTTATGTAAGAAGATTCTACAAATGCTACAGATTCTAAAGCACTTGAAGGGCTTTATGTTTTTGTTGTTATAGAATATAGACAAAATAAAGAATAAGAGTTATCTTTTCTTTGATCGCAATAGGACGCTGCATACAACAAGTAACACCACACCCCTAAAAGTTAAAAAGTAAGGCAAATTCAGATGAAATACCACCTTTCAATAAAGATTTTAGGGAAAATACCACTAATCCCTTCTAAAAATTGTGAATAAATACACTTATATGGAAACATTTATATTTTTTTCCCCATTGCACCTGATCCACATAGCACCAGTGCCAGTTTCAAAAATTGTTGTTGGCCACAACCTGGTGGTTACAAATTTTTTCTAGTTGCTGAAAATTCAAGTCACTTTTACACAGTGACTTAAAAAAATACGTGCAACTTTTTCATTTTCAATTATGTTTTGTTGTGTGAGTTTATTTTTTTTTTCCACACATGTAATTACAATAAAACTAGAGAATTTATGAGAAAATTCATTACTTAGCTTGTTCTTTTGAAGGTCATTGTTAGAGAGTGACATTGAGATTGAAAAAAGTTGTTGGTCGCCAGAAAATTTGATCAATCAGTTTCAAGAAAAAGTTGCTCGGTCAAAAAACATGGTAGAATTAAGTGACAATCATGTAATTAATTTGAATTAGTAATATTTATAGAATTGTTTTGGTTGACTTTTCCATTGATAGCTAAACTGAAAACATGGTATTTTGGTTATTCATATCTGCATCAGACCTCCTGAGAAACGAGAGATTCCCCAAGGAATGAAGGATCTGTCCTGTTAAATTATACTTTTCTAAATTAGATGCTTCAAACGTCTGCTATATTGTTTTCTGTAATCCTTGTCCTGAGCTAACCCTATTCAGGTCTATGATAACCACCTTCCACTTGGCCGATGGCAATGCCACCATCTTTGCCCAGCAGCAGCTCATCTGCTTCTAAAGACCAAGTCATATCACAGCCAATGACCAATCTACTACTTTCATGCAGCGTCAAACATTCCACGGTCACGGTCTAAATCTGCAGGTCAGATCGTGCGGTGGAGCATGGATATGTCATCTAATACCTCTCATCGGATTATTCGATGACACTTGAAACTAACTATTGTCCTAATTTGCTTCATGGGTGAATATAAACTCAATCAGTGGGCCATATAGTATCACAGTTTCAATTGTTATTTCAAACGGGGCATGCAAATATTTCTATTCGACAACTTTTTTCATGGGTGGATATGTCATCAAATACCTCATCGGATTATTCGATGACACTTGAGACTAACTATAGTCCTAATTTGCTTCATGAATGGGTCAATATAAACTCAATCAGTGGGCCATATGGTGTCACAGTTTCAATTGTTATTTCAAACCGGGGCATGCAAATAGTTATATTTTTGGAAAAAAAAATGCATGCAAGTTGATAAACAAATAAATAAATGTGTAAAATGTGTTGAACTTGGAACCACCAAGCCACCAAATGTCTAAGTGCAGAGGTGTTGAACTGTAGATACGTAACAGAGTTTAGTTTCAACGCTGAACTTGCACAATTCCATATATACCTCGCCATTTTTCTCTTAGATGGAATTATGTACAACGATTCAGAGGGCCTGTCGCATTCATCAAGCTATACATATCAATTACGTAACTTCCTTAACATTAAAATACTATAAATTAAGTCCTGATATGTTGGGATAAGTTATGAATGAGAATGACCACAATTCCAGATTATTCCACATTCGAGAACATAAACCAAAGAAAACATTACCGAAATTTATCATAAAGTATTATTAGAAAATCTCAAACAAAATTGAATGACAATTGATAAGATAACATGTTAAACATTTTATCTATGGTACCTCTTCATGTATATAGCCCTAGAAACTCTAGGAGACTAAATAGGAATACAATTAAACAAGTAACAAAAAAATAAAAAATAACAATCTCTTCGAAACGTTAACACCTTATAGCAATGAGTTTGATGTGCATCATCAATCTATTTGAAACAACATGTAATGATTCCGAATCAGACATTGAAACTTAAATTAATCTATAAAGCTTTATTCTTGCTGCTCGATTTGCGCCTTTCAACTTGATTTTCAGTCTGTTCCGCAATCTAATTTACATCAGTCCCTCCCATATAGAGGAGCCCTCTCCTACACTTGTGAGATTCAATTATTTAGTTGACCACACTCATTATAACACATGTGTAACTTCTCCATTATTATAATAAAAATGCCAGCCAACTTAATGGACCAAATTAAGGGTGAACCAGATAAATGCATTGCGTTGTGTATACTAGTCAGTATCTAATCGCCGCCTTCCGTGTCTTAATTAACCTTTATATTTCAGCTGTATGTTTGTTTACAACGAAGGAAGTGACAGATGCCCAAAATTTGGCACCCAACCACATTTTCAGGTGCCTACCGGGCATCTATATAAGAAGGAATCGGAGTCCTCCTATATCAAGATCCATCCATTGTGCTTAAGAAGTTATTGGAAATAGCTTCAAAACCAACGGCAATATTTTGGTCTGAGGTAAATATCGTCTCTTGTTTATGATATATATGCATGCTTTAAAATAACATACCGTTAACGATGTGTCATCTGTGAGCATTGTGAAATGTTCTCAATTAAATCATGGCCAGGGATTTCATTACTTGTTCTCCAAATTTCAATTATTTTTTTTACAATAACCAGATATTATCAATAGCATGTTATTATTTCTATATATATATATATATATATATATATATAAACTGGCATGAAACTAACCTTTTTTTTTGTATATATTTTATTTTCAGGATAGAAAGACGTATATCTAGCTTCAAAAACAATATGGAGAAATCAACAACGGCTGCTATATTATTGCTCTTGTACTTTTTTGGGTTCTGCCCTCAACCAGGGGTTCCCTCATTCGCCAATCCATCTGATGACCTTGGTAAATATAGTTTAAAAGTCCCATTGGTTTTTTAAAGTAACTTACATGACAAATAAATTTAATAAAAAACAGTTCTCCCTATATAAACTTTTTTCCTCATCTCTTTTGTTCATATAATGCAGACTTTAGCTACTTGAAATTTGTACGTAACGCAACTGATCTACCATTACAAGAAGAATATGACTACATTGTTGTGGGAGGGGGCACGGCAGGGTGCCCGTTGGCAACAACTTTATCTGCAAACTACTCCGTTCTCCTTCTAGAAAGGGGCAATATTCCATCAGCATATCCAAATGTGTTGCGTGCGAATGAGACTCTTGCAAATTTCATGCAAGAAGATGACGGTAAGACACCGGCCCAGAGGTTCACATCAGAAGATGGTGTGGCTAATTTAAGAGGACGGATCCTAGGCGGGTCAAGTATGATCAATATTGGCATATACTCAAGAGCCGACAGTGAATTCTACGAGAAATCAGGAATTAAATTGGACATGAACTTAGTCAATAATTCATATGAATGGGTTGAAAACACTGTAATATTCCGTCCGAATGTAACACGCTGGCAATCTGTTGTGAAAGATGCGATGTTAGAAGCTGGTGTTCGTCCAGACAATGGACTGACTTTGGATCACATTCTGGGAAGTAAAGTCACGGGTACGCTCTTTGACAATCGTGGAAAAAGACATGGAGCTGTGGAACTGCTGAATAAAGGACATCCAAAAAACCTGAGAGTTGCAATTCATGCCACAGTAGAGAGGATCATTTTCTCTTCCGAAGCATCAGGTATCCAAACATATTTGATATATACAATTATAGATCATTTAAATTTGAAGAAAGTTGAGGTTCAATCATAAAACTAATTGACTATACGGGGAGTAATCCAATTTACTTATAAGTCTATGCAAGGTTCATTATTCCATCAATATGGCATTTTCATTCTCAACAAAATTTCCATAAAACAAAAATTGAATCTATCATGGCATTAAAAAGAGAGAATCTTCTATATATTTGAAGGATTTGAATCTATTCTGTTTACTTGTAAATTAAATATATGTCCAATTCTAATATCGATTTTATGTAGGTTTGTCAGCTAAAGGAATCATATACAGTGATTCTAACGGGAGGTCTCATCAGGCATTGATACGTGGTAAGGGTGAGGTTATATTGAGTGCAGGTGCAATTGGAAGTCCTCAACTTCTACTACTTAGTGGTGTTGGCCCAAAATCTTACCTTTTATCTTGTAAAATCCCAGTTGTTCACCCACAACCTTACGTTGGGCAGTTTATGCGTGATAATCCTCGTAATTACATTACCATTTTGCCCCCGTTTCAAGTAGAACCTTCTACTGCACAGGTTGTTGGTATCACAAGTGATTATTACATAGAGACTTTCTCCGGCTTGCCATATTCTACTCAGGCCTTTAGTATTTTCCCTAGTCCAACTATTCCCATGACCATAAATTCAAGTTTCGGGCAAATTGTTGTCAAATTTCCAGGACCCTTGTCCTATGGTTCTCTTAAACTGCAATCATCCTATGATGTCAAAGTTGCTCCAAATGTCAAATTCAACTACTTTGCACAGGAGGCAGACCTTTCTCGTTGTGTTAGTGCCGTGAGGAAAATGGGTGATTTATTAGAAACAAATTCATTGAAACCGTATAAGGCTCACGATTTGCCAGGTCTAGAAGGTTTCAACCTTTTTGGACCGCCCTTACCAGTGAACCAGTCAGACGATGCATCCTTTGAAACCTTTTGTCGAGATACAGTAGCCTCATTTTGGCACTACCATGGTGGATGCCTGGTCGGAAAGGTAGTTGATGAAGATTTGCGGGTCATGGGGATCAAGGCATTACGTGTTGTTGATGGATCTGTATTCAATTTATCACCAGGGACCAATCCTCAAGCCACTCTTATGATGTTAGGCAGGTATGCGTGTTACATGCATTTAATTCAGTACACAACCACAAGAAATTACCTGTACATAATACAACTAAGTAAATATTTAACTAAGTCCTTAATTTGCTTTTTTATTTATTTATTTGTGTAAGAATATATGGTTGTTCTTTTCCCACACCAAATTTTGTTCTTTGGGCAGGTATGTTGGCGTTCAAATGCTGGAAGAAAGATCAGAGTGACACGTTTCTTCGAGATTATATTCAATTTGTCATACAATGGATTGAAGATTATTCAACAACCTTTAGTGTTATCGTGTTTTTACTTAAGATAAACTTAGTTAATAAGGTCATAATGTAACTCAAGACTCAAGTGGTAGGACGGAAAGAATAATTGAAAATCGAAGCTAAAGGCACATTAGTTGTATCATTTATTTCTTCTTTTAGTATTGTAATTGAAAAGGTAGATGCAGAGTGTATTCAGCATGTATGATGTATTCAATAAAATGTGGAGCGTGAATAAAAAAACCCTTTTAGAAATATGTATCCGATATGAACCGAAGTTTTGGAATAAAACTTTATTTCAATTTGATCCATCTAAAACTCACCCCAACTTTAAGTCATAAACATGTCCCACTATTCATTGTATTATCAATTTACCTATTTCGACTCAAACTTTGAGCTAGACATGCTCAATTGGATGAAATTTTTGAATTGTCCTACTTTGAAGTCCAATTGTGTTTTTCATAGCAGTCAAGGGGTTGGTTTAATTTTGGACATGGTCTGTTTTTAGGGGTGGAATTTGTGGCGTCATCTTATAAAGTTTATCATTTTTTCTCTATCAGAATGTGAGAGATTATGTACCTTACCGTTCATTGTCCAACAAATACACTTAGGAGTGTATAATAATTTTTCAAAGTGTCAATGACGTCACCTTCAGACAACCCTAAATAATTTAGAGAACATCCACCGTACCCAACTTAATCACATAGTCCACACCCTCCACATAAAGTTTCAGCATGTATCTACCAAAACTGTACATGTTTCAACAGTTATATCTGTCATAACTATATGTAGTTTCAACAGGTACCTACCGAAGCTGTGCGTATTTTCAGTAGGCTCCAGCCTTAGAATACATGAATCTGTGACAAATGAAAGGATTCAATATTTTGGCACATATCCACTGAAATAACTTAACCATTCGATCAACACCTACCAAATCGTTAAAGTTCCGATAGGATCCTACAAAAAACCTGAATCAAGGTTTAGGGTTTTCCAAGCATTATGACGCCGTTCAAATTGATGCGAAATTTAAAAAAAAAAAAAAAAAGTTGTCATATTATGCAAAATTAAGAAAAATGTAGTCATACTTCATGCACAGCATCCAAACAACCATTTCAAATATTTCATTCCCAAAAAATAAGCATTTTTTTTTGTAAATGTGTGTTCTTGCAGTCCCCATCTCCCACATTGATAACAAGCGAAGATGTGTCGTGGAGCCTACCACAACATTAGGATAGTTGTTGGAGAATGAGAGTACTCGAATTTTTCCATTCCAACAATTAGGGCACTTGATTACAAATACCCTACACTGATATGCTACTGGACAGTATTGTTGAATTATAAGCAGTGAGCTAATTAGTATTACTAAATAATCCATGTGTTTAATTGTGTATTCACTTGTGCTTTATATTCCCAAGTGTAAGGCTCAAATATGTAAGGTCATGCGTGCCATGTGTAATGATCGTAGTTACTAACTAGATGAGTGGCTGAGATCAATTTCTAGAGAGATTCAGCTAAGAGTTTCTAACAGTATTATTCCCTTTCACACGACTTGTGTGGGAGTGAGAGTAACAATCAATGAGAAGAATATTTTCCTTTGTGATTTGCAGAGAGAAAGAAGCAACCATTTTCTCTTCCTTGTGCATTCATCTCTCTCTCTTCGATTCCTTCTTCTTCCAAAATATCAATTTACTGAGCTATATTTCAATTTACACTAACAAGTATACACACGACATAGGCAAAAGCTTTCCTACCAAGTTGTTAGATAACAGTGTGTGGTTAGAACCTATATATGATGAGTTAATCAATAGGAAATTAAGAATACAACTATTAGTGGCACCGGTTAAACTAAATTACGATACAGGAGAAAACATGAGGAATTGATCGAAATCAAATCTACCGTCAGCATATCTATATCAGTGATGAGTGATCTTCAGAAAATCATCTCTGTGTTTGGCTTGTAGGAAAACAATCAACATGAACTGCCTTAACTATGTTAGAGCCGGGTAATTCTGAAGAAACCATAGGGTGCTCCTAGGTGTGTGTAGGGGTTGTGTGTGTTCACGAGAACTTCATAGAAATTAGAAAAGATGTTGTCAACTATATACTTCCATCCAAATCCCTCCAGCTAGCCCTTCCGAATTCAGTGATGTGAAACACGTATGGTCAAACAAAACAAGTAACAAGGGAATGTACGACCAGAATAATTACGAAATGTTACATTGGCGAGAAAAATAAACTCAACTAACACATGTACCAACTGCAACCTTTGACAAAAACAAGAATTGTAGAGGTTCTTTTGAAGCTTCGAACCGAGATTTAAAACTGGCCCTTTGGCATAACAAAGGAAGATAAGACGGGAGTCGAATTCAACAATAAACCTTGCGACACACAAACTATAACATGGAACTGAACAATAGAAAAACCAATTCTCCATTAACAAAAGTCCTACTATCCAACTTTAACATAAATTTCTACATAAACTTCTATCACCCAGGTTGAGAGCTCCACCTAATTCAACATCCATTTTTCTATAGCAAGTCAAATTGCAATATACGGACCGTCAGCTTCTTTTCCTTTTCTGGAGTTCACACTGCTTCAGTAAAGCTGAGATACACTCCTTCAGTGAGGCTCTCCTCTTTTGCTCAAAGTTCCATAATTCTGGTATTGCGTACCTACCACTGGGATTATACTCATTCAATTCCAGCAAGGCAGTTGTCACAGCATTGTAAACATGAACACCGTACTCATCCTTTAAATTTTTCAGTTTGTCATCTTTCTCATCAATAGTTTGCTGTATGGGTAAAATAAACATAATCCAGTTAGAAGGGCATGAGAAATGAGATGTACTGGAACAAATCAATTGAGTACAACAAAGTTAGAGCATGATAATGATGGGCCAAAAGAACGGCAATCAAAATGTGAATAGACTGTACACTACACCACTGCCGATGTCATATAAATGGAACCTGACTCAACACACAGAACAAGCTCCTTGTTGTACAAAACCTAGCCAGTACGAGCTTCAGAAGCCTAAACCTTCAAGATGAAACGCTATAGGAGGCATAAATGAAGGTGCAAATTCACAGGACTAAACCTAAACCTTGAAGAAGAAAGGTCATAGTAAATATGAAAATGCCAATTCAGGGGACCGGTTGCGCTTAGATATATCCTGAACAAAAACTGGATATGGAACAATAACATGGATAACTTTTTTAAGTGAAACCACATGTAAGCAGTAATATAAAGAATCAAACTGCAACTGCCTAGCAAACCAACACGACACTAGGATTACCATAAACATATACGCATCAGCAACAGAAAGACCATCCCGTGCAGTGCAAGAAACCAACTTACCTGGAGGTATCGCCATTCTGAGATCAACAGATGAAGTCTTCTACTTCCAATACTCGTTAATGCTTCTCTCTAAGTGAATAGGGTTTTAGATCTTTCGGAAGCCTTAGTGTGGAAGCAGGGACTTCAACTATTTATACAGTCATTCATCGATAGAGATCTACTCAGTCCAGCCTATTAACAGAAGGAGTGTTGATCTCTATCTCTAAGAGTTTTAGTCCCATCATGACTTGATATACTAGTGTATATCAGATAAGGATCGAAACTAGGACAGCTGCAATACATGTAACTCCATGACTCTTATCGCATTAGGGCTCTCAAACTTCCTGTGTTTCACATAACCAGTTATGCGCCACACAAGTAGTTCAGTTGTGATCTCATTGTCATTCAAACAAGGTTTTACATTCTCCCACTTGAATGTCAATGATATGCCTCAACACAATAAGAATCACGATGATCATTGAGTTCACAAACAAAATCTGCAACTGATCCTACTCAGTGACTTGTCATTTTTAAGAAAAATATAGGACCACAGAAAACAAAGCACGCATTGCTTGCACTTTGCACTCTGTGATCACATACATATTTATCATGAAAACACTATGTCACCTTTACGAGTCATGATGTTGAGAACTGATAATTTGTACCGTCAGATATCAGTTCCACATAACAAACTGAAATGATTCCAGTACCAAAGTAGTTTGTCAAAGCATAATCAGCTATTCAAACAATTCAATAATAAATAACAACTGTCACAATAACAATAAAGATAACAGCAATAAGACCTACGTAGTTCATGGAGTGCTTACTCCCACTCATTAGCAGAATCAAAGAGTTCTTTCACTCCCATGTTGAAAACATGTTTCTTGAATACTCCCACTGGTAAAGCCTTTGTCATCGGGTCAGCTACCATTAAGCTTGTGTGGATGTACTCAATTTCGACAGTCTCTTTCTTCACTTCATCTCTCACTTTTAAGTACTTAATATCCATCAATCTACTAGCATATGACCTTTTGTTATTCTTTGAAAAGAAAACTGCAGCTTTGTTGTCACAATACAACTTGAGGGGCCTGTCAACATTGTCAACGATTTCCAATCCTCTCACCATGTTTTTGAGCCAAACAGCTTGTTGAGTTGCTGCATAGCACCCTATAAACTCAGCTTCCATGGTTGAAGATGCAATACTCTTCTGTTTTGCACTTTTCCACGATACTGCACCATTAGCCAACAGGAAAATGTAACCATTTGTCGATTTTCTGTCGTCCACACATCCTGCCAAGTCTGAATCTGTGAATCCCACCAACTCCAGCTTGTCCACATAACTGTAAGTTAACATGAAATCTCTTGTTCTTTTAAGATACCTCAGTACCTTTTTCGCTGCAACCCAATGTGCTGTACCAGGATTTGATTGAAACCTTCCTAGTACACTTACTGCAAAAGCCAGGTCCGGTCTTGTGCATACTTGGGCATACATAAGACTCCCTACAAGAGATGCATAGGGCTTATCCTTCATTCCCTCCTTCTCTAATTCATTTTTGGGACATTGATCACTGCTCAGTTTGTCTCCTTTGCCAATAGGCAATTCACCATTCGAACACTTGTCCATATTGAATCTTTTAGTGACTCTGTCGATGTACTGCCTTTGGGAGAGACCAAGAGACTTCTTAGCACGATCTCTAACAATTTCTATTCCCAAAACGAATCGAGCTTCCCCCAAGTCCTTCATGTCAAAGTTTTGAATGAGCATACTCTTAGTTGTCTGTAGTAGAGACATATCGGAGCTAGCTAATAATATATCGTCCACATACAACACTAAGAATATAACCTTTGACCCAAGAACTTTCAGATAAATACACTCATCCATTTTGTTTTCTTGAAACCCTGAAGCTGCCATTACCTGATCAAATTTCTTATTCCATTGCCTCGAGGCTTGTTTTAAGCCGTATATAGACTTATTCAACTTACAAACCATCGTTTCTTTCCCCCTTTCAACAAATCCAGGTGCTTGTTGCATGTATATATCTTCTTCAAGGTCTCCATTCAGAAATGCCGTCTTGACATCCATTTGGTGAAGCTCTAAATCAAAGTGTGCCGTGATAGCTAGGATTATTCTCATGGAATCTTTGGTTGAGACGGGGGAAAACGTTTCATTGTAGTCAATTCCTTCCCTTTGTGTGAAGCCCTTCGCTACTAGCCTTGCTTTGTGTTTGTCAATGTTGCCTTGTGAGTCACGTTTTGTCTTGAACACCCACCTGCAACCAATGATTTTTGTTGTTCCAGTTGGCTGTGGAACTAGACTCCACACATTGTTTTTCTCCATAGATTCCAGTTCTTCATGCATGGCTTGTTTCCATAACGTTGATCGTGCACTTGATATTGCTTGATTGTAGGACAAGGGATCATCTTCATCACCTATAGTGTGTTCTGCCTCATTTAGATATACGAAATCAGGCAATAATACTGCTTTACGTACTCGCTGTGATTTGCGAATATTCGATTCCAACCTTGTAGTGACTGGAGCATTTATGAGATCTTCTTCAGTTGTTTGTACAGGTGCATGTACTTCACTTTCTTGGACATTTGCACAGGCCATGTGTCCCTCATTTGCTGTCTCATCTTCATAGGACATATGTAAGCTGCTATGAAGAGGACGTGGCTGCATGGGAATACTGAGAGTGGATGCGTGCTGATCAGGCAACTCACTGTCAAGTGGGATTTCTTCAAAATCTGGGGATAGAGCTGCTGAGTTACTGTAATCAGTCTCATCCTCATCTTCAAGAAATCGTGCATTATGTGTTTCCATGACCCTCGAGTGACTGTTAGGGCAATAGAATTTATACCCTTTAGACTTCTCAGAATATCCAATGAATTGGCAACTGATGGTTCTTGGATCAAGTTTCTTCTCTGTTGGATTATAAAATCTGGCCTCGGCATTGCAACCCCATACATGAAAGTGGTTAAAACTCGGTTTCCTTCCAGTCCAAGCTTCGAATGGAATCTTGTCCACTGACTTGCTTGGTACCCGATTCAATATATAGTTTGCAGTTTTCAGTGCTTCTCCCCAGAGAAACATTGGAAGCTTTGAATGTGCAAACATGGATCTGATCATGTCCTTTAGGGTTCGATTTCTTCGTTCAGCAACTCCATTTTGATGCGGAGTCCCAGGTGTAGTGTACTGAGCCACGATGCCATTTTGTTCAAGATAAGTTGCAAAAGGTCCTTTGTGTTGTCCTGCCTCAGTGAACCTGCCAAAATACTCACCACCTCTATCGGATCTTACAATCTTAATGTGTTTGTCCAGTTGTTTTTCAACTTCCAAATGAAAAGTTTTAAAACATTGCAAGGCTTCAGATTTTTCAGAAATAAGGAAAATATATGCAAAACGTGAAAAATCATCAATGAAGGTTATGAAATATGATTTTCCACAGATGGTTTTAATTGGGAAAGGTCCACAAATGTCAGTGTGTATGATTTCTAATAGACATTGGCTACGGTTTGACCCTATTTTCCTAGTATTAGTGAGCTTTCCCTTAAAACAGTTAACACACTCTTTAAAATTGCTGAAATCAAGTTGTGGCAACAAGTCTTGTTTTGTAAGTGTGATGATCCTTTCCTTAGAGATGTGCCCCAACCTTTTGTGCCAAAGCATTGAGGTTTTTGCATGAGAGAGCACTTGTTTAGAACCAACACTTTGAACATTAAAACATTCAATCTCATAAGTACAATTCATTTGCCACATATCAACTTTGAGATTAGCTTCACCAAGCAATTTATTCGAGTCATTTGAATGGAAAAACTTTACACTTTGACTGTCACCCACAAATGTAAAGCCGGACTTAACTAACTTAGATGCAGAAATTAAATTCCTTCGCATGGAAGGTACATAAAGTACTGGACTTAATTCTAAAATAAAGCTAGAGGAAAGAACTAATTTGACACTTCCTATGGATTCGACAGCAACTTTGCTCCCATTCCCCACATAGACATTGTAGACTTCATTGTTTATCACCCTTGTTTTTGAGAAGCCCTGCAAGGAATTGGTTATGTGAATAGAACAGCCCGTGTCAAACCACCAACTATTAGGAGGAATATAAACTAGATTGGACTCAACACACACAAAAACATTTATTTCATTACCTTTCTTAACAAGCCAATTCTTGAAGCCATTGCAATTCTTTCTTAAGTGACCTGTTTCTTTGCAAAAATAACACTCCTTTTCTTTCTCAGTTTCGACATTAGCAGTTTTAATTTTATAAGATCCTTTAGAGATGATGTTAGCATTTTTAAATGAAGAAGAAATTTCTTTCTTCTTCTTCTTACCAGCAGCCATGGTTGAACCTTGAGCGAAGTCCCTTTTGCGTTTTTCTCCTTGTACAAAATTCACATCAACTGATTTGTCACTCCTGAGCCGATCTTCTTCTTGTGCACACATAGTGATCAGTTCATCAATGCCCCATTTAACCTTCTGAGTGTTATATGAAACTTTGAGCTGCCCATATTTTGAAGGCAGGGAGTTCAAAGCCATATGAACTAGGAACTGATCAGTCATGGGTACTTCAAGGTCTTTCAACTTTTGAGCAAGATCAACCATCTTCAGAATGTGTTCCCTGACACTTCCCTCACCATCAAATTTCATTGAAGTAATTTGAGTTAGAAAAGTCCCAGTTTCTGCCTTGTCAGACTCTTTAAACTTTTCCCCAACTGCAGCCAAGAAGTCTTTTGCATTATCTTGTTTTGGAACACCTCCCTTAACTGATGGAGTCATTGCTTTCCTCATAATCATCAGTGACATCCGATTTGTTCTCTCCCACTTCTCAACCTTTGCTTTATGATCTGCCGTGCTCTCTGCAGTGATAGCTGCAGGTTTTTCCTCTCTTAATGCCAAATCGAGATCCATAAGCCCAAGGACCATTTCAACATCCTCTTTCCACTTCTTGTAGTTAGAACCGGTCAAGGTCTCAATATTGTTGAAATTGAGGGATGTCATGTGAGGAGCTGGAAAAACCAAACATTAATTTTAACAGTTGTTAGTCATCTAAGTGTTAATAAACAGATGGAAAATGATACTTAATCTTTTCCTGACACATAATCGTATAAGCACAGCATCATCTTTGGACAGAAGCCATTCATACTAGATTTGCATAGCCAAAATATTGAATACAAGGGCAGTTTACACAACTTCAACACTTTTGAGCAGATGAAGAATGTAATCTTGTCAATTCAATACTTCACTATACATTGATTCATTTGTTTAACTTGAATAAATAAACACTTTTGAGCAGATTATCATTCATTTAATACAGATGAATCACATGTTTGACTCTTTAGACAACAAGCCAAAATCAACAAACTAAACACTTTTGAGCAGATTAGATGTTGAGATCCTTGTTTACGATTCAAATCTTATTTGTCCGTTTGATTTTGATAAATAGAATATGAATCCAAAAGTTCTTCTTGGTTGAGTATTCCAGTATCGTAACTATTTTTAGATGATCTTCTCTGCACATGATAGCAAACACAACTGGAGGTATCCACAGCAATAGTTGATTACATATAGTGACCATGCAAACAATTGTCAGTATGCAGCGGAAGCATTTAATGACACAGGATCAAAACATATTTGCATGTATTTATATCGAGAGTTAACCATATATTGATTAAGGAACCCTAGCCATGTTGGGTTGGCTCTGATACCACATGTAAGCAGTAATATAAAGAATCAAACTGCAACTGCCTAGCAAACCAACACGACACTAGGATTACCATAAACATATACGCATCAGCAACAGAAAGACCATCCCGTGCAGTGCAAGAAACCAACTTACCTGGAGGTATCGCCATTCTGAGATCAACAGATGAAGTCTTCTACTTCCAATACTCGTTAATGCTTCTCTCTAAGTGAATAGGGTTTTAGATCTTTCGGAAGCCTTAGTGTGGAAGCAGGGACTTCAACTATTTATACAGTCATTCATCGATAGAGATCTACTCAGTCCAGCCTATTAACAGAAGGAGTGTTGATCTCTATCTCTAAGAGTTTTAGTCCCATCATGACTTGATATACTAGTGTATATCAGATAAGGATCGAAACTAGGACAGCTGCAATACATGTAACTCCATGACTCTTATCGCATTAGGGCTCTCAAACTTCCTGTGTTTCACATAACCAGTTATGCGCCACACAAGTAGTTCAGTTGTGATCTCATTGTCATTCAAACAAGGTTTTACACCACATGCACTCATTGTTGAATAAGAAGAGTATCCAAGATAACTCTAATGATCCCAAGAAGAAGAAAATAGAGCACACTCTTAAAGAAAGCTCACAAAACAAACTAATTAGCAAAGCTTTTCTTATTTAGCTCTAGGCTTTGTTTTTCCTTGGATGATATACAATGCTTGGGGACTTGGGTATTTATAGCAAACCAAATGAAAGCTACACCACACACTTACTTCACCTACAACATCCACCTACTTCACCTACAACCTCCACTTACTTCACCAACCTCACACACTTACTTCACCTACAACATGACATTGATTCTCAACACTCATGAGAAGTACAAGCTGGTGTAATGGGAGCAACAATCAATTGTATTCTATGGATGCTTGATAGTGCATTACAAGTTAAAATACTTGCCTTCGCAACTCCAGAAGGATCCATGCTCATCTTGAATGGATACCAGCTTGAATCTGCAAGATAATCCTCCCACAAAGAGCACAGCATTGCTGCCTGGTCATCTGCTGCTTCGTCCGTTGGATATTTTCTCTTGCATGCAGTTTGAAATGGTTGACAATCCAGATCACCCATTCTCTTCACGCCAATAACAGCAGGACTTATTGATTCCCATCCCTGCAAAGTAGTCCAACCAAACGAACAAGAGAAAAATCACATTCACAAGCAAGAACAAGAGGAAAAAAAAAACACTCTAGCTAAAAATTTATGGATTCTCCAACCAATTGTATAGAGTATTCAAAAGATTAAACCAGAAAAGAAGCATGTTATTGTTGGAAATTCAAATAAAAACAAGCTGTAAAAGGTTGCTGCTAGCTGGTAGTTTCTTTACAGGTTGTATCCACACATGCTGCAACTACAAAGACTAAAGTTTCCTCCATGTGCTAGCTGAAAGTGTGTTGAAAGACAGCAGAGATGTGAGCTGTCCAAAGTTCACATGATCTGTTTGCATGTGTTGTCTTATTGTTTATTCATTTTCTGCTTGTATAAATAAGCCTCCTTGCTAGGCTTTAGAATGACCCCATCCGAATCCCACTTCCAATTGTGAAGAAGCTTGTAAGCTTTCTTATTCCATCAGTTTGTAAACCTTTTGTCATATATCAAAGTCCAAGTGTTTTGCCAAAGCTTGTTGCTTCCCTCCTTTCTCTATTTCTTTCTTTGTCCAATTTTATTGAGAGTGCAAAGTGAGAGGTGTGATAGAGTTTGTAAACTTATCACCCACATATTTTGGTATTGAGTAAGCAAACTCCGGTGAATACCAACAATTGGTATCAGAGCCAGAATACCATTCTGGCAAGTGCAGTAGCTATGGCGTCCAATTTAGTGCAACTCCAAGTTCCCACATTGAAGAAAGAAAATTATGAAAGATGGTGCATCCAATTCAAAGCATTGTTTGGATCACAGGAGCTATGGGAAGTTGTCAGTAGTGGGTATGTTGTACCCACTGCCGAGCAAGAAGCCGTATATACTGCGGATCAAAGGAACACTCTCAAGGACTTACGAAAGAAGGACCAAAAGGCGTTGTATCTTCTATACCAGGGTTTGGAAGATTCAACGTTCGAGAAGGTTGCAGAAGCAACAACAAGCAAGCAAGTATGGGATACACTCAGTACAATCTACAAAGGAGTAGATCGAGTCAAGAAAGTGAGGTTACAGTCACTTCGAGCAGATTTTGAAACTGCTCACATGAATGAAGGGGAGAGCATCTCCGACTATCACTCAAGGCTCATTGTGATAGTAAATCAGATAAGGAGAAATGGCGAGAGACTCGATGAAATACGAGTTGTGGAGAAGATACTTCGGTCACTCACATCTAAGTTTGAGCATGTGGTGACTGCCATTGAGGAATCCAAGGATTTGGAGGTGATGAGCGCAGAGGAGCTACTAGGATCCCTCCTAGTTCACGAGCAACGCATTCAGAAGAATGCAAACCCCACAACGCTAGAGCAAGCTTTGGAGTCAAAGTTGAATATTGACAAACCAAATGGAGGTCGTGGGCAGTGGAACTCACGTCGTGGGAGTTCATCTAACCGTAGCCGAAGACGAGCATGAGGAAGAGGTCGAGGCTATGCACAAAATCGAGGTCAGTCTCAGGAGTGGAGATCTACTCGAGGAAAGGCGCATATCCAGTGTCACAGTTGCAAACAGTATGGACATTATGCAAATGAATGTTCATATAAAAATGGTGAGCATGTCAACATGGCAGAATCAAGTGGAAATGCTGGTGAAGAACTTACAGTCTTACTAGTACACCATGATATCAGTAGCCAACAAGATGTCTGGTATTTAGACTCTGGTGCAAGCAACCACATGTGTGGAAAGAATGAGTTTTTTGCCGAACTAAAAGATGGGGCCTATGGATCTGTAAGTCTTGGTGACTCCTCAAAGTTGCCAGTTGAAGGCAAAGGGAAGATCAAGATCATCCAGAAGGATGGTAAAGAAGAATACATCTCCGATACCTACTACATACCAGGTATGAAGAGCAACATTTTAAGCATTGGTCAACTGCTCCAGAAAGGGTACATTATACATATGGAGAATATGTTTCTCACTCTCAGAAATGCAAGGAGAAAACTTATTGCACGTGTTCAAATGTCAAAGAACCGAATGTTCCCGTTGAAGTTGAACACAAAGATTGGGAGTTGCAACATTGGTGTAATGGAAGATGAGTCATGGAAATGGCACATTCGATTTGGCCATCTTCATTTCAATGGCCTAAAGTTGCTGTCAAGTGGAGGAATGGTTCGTGGTCTACCCCAAATTGAAGCCACACGCCAAGTATGTGAAGGTTGTGTGCTTGGCAAACCAGCACGATTATCGTTCCCTGTTGGTGATACATGGAGAGCAAAGGCACCACTGTAGTTGGTGCACACAGATATATGTGGTCCATTGGATCCCATGTCTTATGGAGGTAATAGGTATTTTATTACTTTCATTGATGATTTTAGTAGGAAGACTTGGGTTTACTTTCTCAAGGAGAAGTCGGCTGCCCTAAGAATCTTCAAGGAGTTCAAGGCACTTACAGAGGCTGAAAGCAACCACAAGCTTATGGCTGTGAGATCAGATAGAGGTGGAGAGTACACCTCCAATGCT